AATTAAAACCCCTGTTTTGGTTTTTATAGTCGAAAAAGAAAAATGTAGAAAGTAATAAGTTGCTCTTACTCTGAATAAATTACACGTGCACGTAAATGTAAATAAGTTCTACTATTTAATGCAATAGCAAGTGTCTCACAATAATAATAAACATTTTTCATGTAAACTTTTTATTGAACATTTTACCTATTTTTTATTTTTGGGAAAAATATCATATTCGTTAGCAAACGATATTAAATAAAAAATAGGTAAAATGTTCAATAAAAAGTTTACATGAAAAATGTTTATTATTATTGTGAGACACTTGCAATTGCATTAAATAGTAGAACTTATTTACATTTACGTGCACGTGTAATTTATTAATTAATTTGGCGCTTGTGCTGTTTTGACTTAAACCCATCGAAAAATACATTTATTTCTATATAAAAATAATTTTAAAGGTTGTATTGACCCTCCAATTAATCCACTAAGTAGTAGACCGAGCACCGCTGCAATAGGTATACTGTAGTAGCTGCTCGCCGCACGGTCCCTACGCGCTTCAACCCTTATTTTTTTTTACTTATTCTTGGGATCCCATCTTCATATTACATCAAAATTTAGGGAATTGAAAAAGCTTTCTTTTGATATTAATTTTTAAAAAATCGAATGTGTCGCATTTTGAAAAAAAAACAAATATATTTTTAAAATCGTTTTTTTATAACCAAAAAATTTTTTCTCGCTTTCGAGACCATTTTTATTGTAAAGCGTGGAAAAAATGCTATACGATATGTTTATTATCAATTTAAAAAAAAATATTATATACATGAATATTTCGACGTCTTTTAAGCGCACGAGAAAAAAAATAAATTTTCAGGCCCCTGTATCTCTGCAATCCACTAATCCTTTTTGCCCCCCATTTGGAAAATTAAGGTAGTCCAATAGGACAATGATTTGGCAAAGTTTTGTTAAAATCGGAGAAAACATCATTTTTAGGTGCGAACACTTGAGGTGTTTTGCCCCATATATAACTCAAATATAAAAATGGTTGATTTTAAGGTTATGTTTGTACAAAAAGCATTTAAGCGTTGAGTTTCTTAATCAATGATATTTTATAATTTTTATATATATATATATATATTTATAATTTTTTCCTTGCAACGTAAAACATAAATAAATTTGTCGAGTAAGACTTCTGCCTTCCTCTCTTTTGTGAAAAACTACCTATTTATTTAAAAATGATGTACAATTCGTATGCTTTAAATGTATTGTTGATAATTCTTAAATTCACGCAATGCTATCGTCCACCAGATGGCGCGCGCGTTGCGAAAAGCCGATACTTCTTTAGCGTATATTAATCAATTATTCAATGAATAGTTATATTCATGTACTAGCGCACCGAAAACCAAGTGAAATCTTTTTAGGAAAATAACTAATGGCTTACTTTGGACATATATCCCATAATTTCTAACCATCATCTTAATTATAATGGGCAATATATTTAATGCTCAGAGCTCTGTTGGTCGACATAATAGAAAATAAGTAAATATATATGAGGAGGTGCATTCCAAAACTCGGCTTATCCATACCTATTAGTTGTTTTTGAGAAACATGTCAAAAACCTTACTCGTAAGTACTAACGCATATCAGGCAAACACAATACTTTAAACGAAATATATAGGCAGAAGTAAAACATTTATATACCTTGATTAAAAAGGTATAGCTCCAATTTAAAATAATTTAAAATTACATACGTATATGCCGAGTTCTGCATGATATAACCAATAGATCACAGAATTTTAAATGGAATGGTTTTAGAATATTATAAACTTTTCGGGGTATAGGGCGATACATGTTTAATGTACAGACACCACTATTCTCATTTTTATTAAAAAGTGGATAAGCCGAGTTTTGGAATGGACCTCCTCATATATTTGTCAAACTGTCAATGTCAAAATCAAAAAATTTAAAAATAATTATTGGTTCTTGTTGAAAGAAATCTAATTTATAGTGTGTGTTGGTGTCCATAGATGCAAAAACAGTTGACATAATGTAAAATAAATAAAACTGTCAGTCACTTGTAATTTTATCGATAATTGGATTAATGGAATAATAAACATATAACTGGATTTATTCTTGTTTACTAAACATATTTAAAAGTTCTTAATAAAAAAAAAGTTTAAAAATTAATGCATTAATAAAGTATAGTACATTACAGGAGATTTAAAGCAATTACGCGACTCGCGGCATTAAACTTACCGCAAGCGGCGTCTTGTGTAACCTCGCCGCTAGCGCGTAATATGCTACATCTCTTGCAGTGTAATTAGGGTTACCAGATTCTGTCAAAAAAATAGAGGAAAATTTTCGAGAATTTACCTTAATTACAAAAATAATACAGCAAACAATGCAAATTGTGAATTTGACGTTACCTAAGTATTGTTGATTGTGTCATTTTTGTAATTAAGGTAAATTGTCATAAAATGTCCTTCATTTTTTTGACATAAATCTGGCAACCCTTAATGTAATATACCAAGTATATAAGAAAAGTTAATCTCCATTACATTACGTTACATTACATGCTGGGTAAATGCGTCCATAGAGTTATGCAGTTTTATCTTTTAAATTAAATTACGTTACATCACAATCCACACATGGATTGTGCGTTACATTACATTACATTAAATGCTGGCTAAATTTAAAACTAGAAGAACTTTTTAAAAGCACTACATAGGTACTTAAAACCATTTAACCTTGTATCCTTACTAATCAAAATGATAAAACTCGATTTATAGTGCGATTTTCAACTTTTATTTGTAATTAAGTCAATAGCAAATAAAAATGAGTAAGAAACTTAAAAATTTAAACACATATATGGGATAGCAGTGGCGGCTGGTGGATTTTGGGTATACCGATATCTCAGTTATTAGATATGGGACCCACACCAAATTTATATGAGTTTATAATGACATTAAATAAACAAGTTCTGCGTAAGCAGAATTTAAATTAAAGTTTGCGAAAAAAAGATAACTTTTTGCTCGGCTGTACCGGCCCCATAGCGCCCCCAATAAATATAATATAAATTTAATTGGTGCAATTTATTATTTACCATAGTTTATCGACAAATTTTAAATTTCATTTAAAAAATCCAAATTATACAGATTTTATACCATTTTAAATTTTAATATTTCCTTTCAAAAAAATAATAAAACTTTAAAATGATATAAAATCTGTATGATTTGAATTTTTTAAATAAAATTTGAAATATTGTTTTATTTTAATATAAACTACACTGTTTAAAAGTTTCACTATTTTATTTAAATATGACAATTGTTTCGCTACACAGTAGCATCTTCAGATCGTGAAACAATTGTCATATTTAAATAAAATAGTGAAACTTTTAAACAGTGTAGTTTATATTAAAATAAAACAATATTAACATGGAGTTTCATCAAGTAAAAGTCGAAACAATTAATTAAAATTTGAAATTTTTCGATAAACTATGGTAAATAATAAATTGCACCAATTAAATTTATATTATATTTATTGGGGGCCCTATTGAGCCGGTACGGCCGAGCCAAAAAGTTATCTTTTTTTCGCAAACTTCAATTTAAATTCTGCTTGCGCAGAACTTGTTTATTAATGTCATTATAAACTCATATAAATTTGATGTGGGTCCCATATCTAATAATTGAGATATTGGTATACCCATTGGGATAGTTTTATTTAAAATTAATAAAAATATCCTTATTTTTTTTTCTTAATGTTGTGCTTCACGGTATTAACTTAACAATGTTTTTACAAATCTAGGGATGTTACAGTGGAACTAGACCGGCTACTTTGGAATAGGTATCGAATGCCTATTTCGCGTACCTATTCCCAAATATCGGAACCTATTCCGGCCTTTCCTATTCTGTAGCCTTGCAGCCGTCACGCTGTCGCGCAGTTTCAGTGCAATAAATTCTATTCACGATGCCGGTGACGGTGAATTGCGAATAAAACCGATTGGAACTCCAGTAGGTATTTTCTTGGACTTGAACGGCGTCGTTGCCGCTTAATTTAAGAGTATCCATATATATCACATATTAACGCATTGATTTCGGCATCGAGCAACCACAATCCAGTGTGGATTGTGCGAGCAACTAAATGTAAATACTTAATATTGAGTATATACTCCTTCGTATCATAGCAGGGCTGGCAAATATCATGATATTTATATAAATATCCAAATATTCAAATGATATATTTCAATATAATAGACTGTTTAATCGTCATAATGATAAACACCATCTCGTCTCATTAGACAGTAACCTTGGAGAAAGGGATAAATTTTCTCCACATTTTAGGACTGGCTGACTTTTGCAATTAAAAACGAATATCAAATGTACAAATTCCTTATTATGATTAGAAAAACAATATTGTTCTACTTCCATCTTTAAAACACAAATTATCGTATGTTTTCACGTCGCTAAGTGATCAATTAAAAAAGCATTGACTTTCTGGGGTTTGGTTCTTAGTCTCTCTCTCTCTCTTTATTTTTCTCCACTACCTCCGGAGTACCATAAGCCTCTCCCTCAGTAATGGAATTGGTCTGAGCCGTTGTGGCTCTTTTAACCAGTCACAAGTCACGGACATGTGGAATTTCAAATCTTGAAACATCCACTACATCATTTGCACAAATCACAAAATTCCTCGCTAAAAGGACAAAGCTTGCGATATTGTCGAGAAATACCGGTATATTTCTATACCGGGAACCCCATTTTATCCTTCCTGGGTCAAAGTCAACTATTTTCAGACTTTTTCATGGAGCGATGTACACACGATGAAGGATAAAATCGAACTCTGGTTCTTAGTCACTGATGTTAGCTTTAAGTTAGTTGTCACTTGTCATATAATTTTAGTATTTTTGTGTAAAAAAGGTATAGTATGCCATTCGTTTTATAAAACTTCGTTCTTGCGTAATTAAAACTCATGACTAAAATGCCGTTTAAAAAACTTGTTGCGTAATAAACTTTTAAATTGTTTAGGAACCGTGAGTTTGAGGAGCAAGCCCGCTTCTTTCCGTCTCTTCCGCCTCCCGGCTGGCACCTGAAGGGCGTCCTTGCAGCACACCTGCACGAGCACAGGGGCGCCGTGACAAAATTGTGCACCGTGCCCGACACCCCGTACTTCGGGAGCTGCGCGAACGACGGCACTGTGCGTCTGTGGGACTGCGGCAAAATGGAGGGCAGAAATATCGCGAACAGGTCAAAGCAACTGTACAAGTTTCCCCGGCAGAACACCAAGGTGGTTGGTATGACTGTGTGCGACGCTGGACAATCGTTTGGGGCTATTGGAAACGATGGCACGGTGCAGGTGTTGAGAATCGATAATGGGAGTAACAAGTTAGTGACTTTTTTATTGTGTTTATGTATATTAACCAATTGCTTGAAATTAAAACAAATATTCTTAGGATGACTGTGGTAAATACTCGCCAGCTGAACGACAGAGAGGACGGCTACGCAACCGATGTGCACTGCATCGATTCCGGATCCCAAAGCGTTTTGGTGTACTCTACCCTGTTCGGTTCCGTGTACGGATGGGATCTGCGATCAGGCACCACCGCGTGGAAACTAAAGAACGACATCAAAAACGACATCACCAGCTTTTGCATTGATCCCAAACACAACTGGCTGTGCATGGGGACAATAACGGGCAATTTTATCACGTGGGATCTGAGATTTAGGTTGCCTATCAGCACTATAGAGCAAGATTCAGGTAATGATTTACAACAATGAGTACTGTAACTACTAAAAAGATGCATATTCCATAATATAAATAAAAGGGCACAAGGAATAATGCATTTATTAAGTAAATGTTTAAGTATAAGAAGAGTGGTTGATTGCCCACAAATGAAATAATATTAAACCTTTAATTTAATTTAGCAGGAGTGAGAATAAGGAAGGTTATCTGTCATCCCACTGAAAAGTCCTGGATAATATCCAGTGTTCAAGGTAATAATGAAGTTTCAATGTGGAATCTGGAAACCAGTTTTAGACAAAGGGTTTTATGGGGAAGTACTACTCCACCACTGTCTAAATCTACACAGGTAATGATATTAGTTGTAAAATACCAATAATAATAATAATATTAAATCTTTATTGTATTCAGCAGGTGGAGGTTCAGTTTACACTGTTTTACACTTCAACCCAGTTAAAATTTTACAAATTAAAACATTTAACAAGTGTCTTTGGTTAAAAATATAAAAAATCTTGAAAATTTGTTTACATACTAACAATATACCGATAATATTTTAAGAGCCTACTCGGTGTAGCCACTCCCACAGTAAGTTTGTCGGGAAGTCGATGTCCTTAATTCGTTAAATGCATACGGATTTAGCGGCAAATGTATCCCGAAGTTAAAAGCCGTGTTTAAGGAAAACGGAATAAGACGTACGTCATTTCATCATTATTGTAAAGAAATGGCAGGTTGGACTTTGGACGAAGGTCGCGCAACATTTTACACACTTGTCTCGTCTATGATCTTAGTGCAACTTTTTCGGAAACTGTCAAATTGTGATTATACTATGTTTTATAGTTTTCATCGGTAACTATGCACAGAAAGCGAGCGATGTTTTTCTACATTATAATTTAGAATTGTACTTTATAATGTATAATTGCACTCTTTATAAAGAGAACAATAGTAGATATATTGAAGAACCAATGTCATAACACGTCATTTTTTGAGTATGAGTAAGAGTATAAGAGACGTATAACCAGCCCCATTGCCTCATCACTCCCGGACCCCGTACAGGCCTATGTTTACTTACGCCGATTTTTGTTCGCCCCCAGAGACTGCACGGCTTCACCCGTGTTTGCGAATGTCCATTGCGTTCCGTACTGTCACCTATTTGGGGCTCGAGAGCGACATGCGAATAGTTTTAATAGCCATTCTCGGGTTCGCCGAGCCGATGCTATACGCCCACTAGGCTATAGAGGAGGAGGGACGGGAGGGATAGACGTTTGTTGGTTTTTGGGGGACAATTACGCCGACTTAAAACTAGGTACGACGCGGAATTCCCCTAGACCAGTCGATTCTATAGTGGTTATTTAAATAATTTTAATGGATAAGTAAAGTATCTATTATGGTGGATTAAATGTGGTAGGCATATATTTATTAGATAAGGATATTCTACGATAATCAGAAATTGTTATCCCTACCGTCACAATACAATTTCTGACGGTCGGGATGAAAATTTTCGATTATCGTGGAATATCCGACCCAATAAATATAAACAAACCACATTTAATTCACCATAATAAGTACTTTACTTATCCATTACATTAATTAATATACTATATATATAATATATATATAATAGTATCGTGAAATGTAATACTAAAATATTCATAAATTTAGAAGACAAAATACAAAGCAATGTGTTTATTAGGTAATAACTTGTTTATTAGGTAATAAATGGGATCCTTAATATTTAAATAAATAAAAAAATCCTTAAACTATAACTAAATATGCTATATATTACTATATAAACTAAAAATATATTTACAAATAAGTTCAATTGATTTTTTTGATAGATTGTCCTCTGTAACAAAGAAAACCCGGTATTTTGACCTGATCAATTAAACCTTTCAACTAAATTCTTTGGCGGTATTTTGTATGCAATAAGTGTTCTAAAATTTGTAAAATTAAAAATAGTATATATTATTTTTTTTTATGTGGTATACCACACTATAGGAATTACACTGGGCGTCATTTTTAAAATATGGATTTAACTAAAGTATAACTAAAGGTTCATGTAAGTTTTATATACAGAAAATATTTGACACTTCAATGCTTTTTTACTTTATACTGGAAATTGCCATATATGGGTCTTTTATGGTTAAACATACAAATATTAGCATTTTATCAAAATTAATATTTATATTAAAACATTCCTGTAAAGGCCTAGTACAAGGAAAGCTTGGGCTAAAAATTCCATTATTAAGCCATGAAAAATTCCATTATTAAGCCATGAAACTATGTAATAGGCCATTACATAGTCTGACTTATGTGTTTGCTGGGAAAATACATTTTTACGAAATACTGTGGGACAAGAAAGCCTTTTTTTATATTCTCTATTTAGAAAACCAGGAATAAGACAAAATTAGGGCGTGGCCTCGCCTGCATTTAGCCTGCGGCGCATTTTACTATGACCCTTCTATACCAATAACCACGAGCCGTCACTGTAGAGGAGCGGCTTGGGAGTATCACGTAAGTGATTTACTCTCAAGCTATCTCGTGAATCACAAGTGATAAGCTCACATGATTTTAATGAGATTTCATTTGGCGATTACGAATGGTATCTCGAAATTGTTGTCAACCATTGCACAGTGGCTGATATGTCCTAAAACCTGACCGAAATTGTTTGAACTGACCTGCAGAATTGTACATGAGGGCTTTTGTGGTACTGTATTAATTTAAATATTTTTCGAGGAAAAATTAACAACGGATTTTTGTAAATTTTTCATTAAATTCAAACCACTGCTACTGACTTTATATTTATTCCAATACTTAATAAATTCACGATGAATGGACTTGCTTGTTCAGACCAGGTTCCTAAGGAGTGTACGTAATGAACTTCATTAAATGAAGGCATTCTTCTAAATGGTTAATTAACACGTACATTTTAAGAAATTTCTGTAGCTAAAAACATTTTTTAAATTTTTTAATATTAGTTTTAAGGTCAGGTGTTTTTGTTGAAAAGTACAATTTGATTAATTTGTTCAATGATTTGAAAAATGAAATAAAGCGCATCACTGTCAGGGGGCTTTTTTTTTATAATAAATATTAATAAAATGTCACTATTTTCCAGCATCTGCGTTGCCCTCTATTTCTCCATGATACTGCTTTGAAATGAAATTTAATTTTTTGGGCCATGCCAACGCTTGCCTTCTTCCCAAAACAGGTACTAAACCATTCCAGAAGACGTAAAAATATTTCTGCAAGACGCACAAGTTATCTTCTTCAAAAAAAGGCATGTTAATAACGTTGTTGCAAAATTTGCCTTGTTTTTTTGTCTTTATTTAAAGACACAAATTTTTCGTAACACTTTTTGAAGTCGCCGTAAGTTTTTTTTATGTTTTATCTTTAAGTTAAAATTCCTGAGTTCTTCCAATGTAGCAAGCAGTATGAGCAAGTAGCCTATAATACAGTGGCGGCTCGTGACCATTCATGAAGGTGAGGCCCATGAACCGCTATATGGCGCCGCACAGTGGTTAGAAATCCCAAATAGCTGGCCAAAACCCAAAAATCAAAATTTACCTTTCAGGGTAAATCTTAACAACATCTCGAATAGATGGTATTAGTGTAGTAAAATCCAAAGGCACAGAGCATAAGATCGCCTTTTAGACTGTAGGTGTTCTTTCAAAGTTCGCCCTTTTAACGAACACCTGTCACTCTGGCGTTTATTCACTTTTATGCATCGCGGCAAGAAACGGAATTTTAACGTGTAAAAGTGTTGTAAAGAGATCGAAAAAAATGGAAAATGTTCCTGAAGGTATGTACATTATTTACAAATGTTTCATCATGAGTTTTTTAATTTTTTAATTTGCGGCAAAACCTTTAAATTTGACATGTTTAAATTTCTGTATTCCCATACGGAGCATGAATAAATGCAACGAAATAGTAGTGATCCGGCGAGATCCGGAACAGTTGCAAACTGTCTCATGTGTAAAAAAGTATAAACAATTAAATTACGCAGACGGAACTTCCACCTTTGTCCACCTTTTAGTGAAAAAAATTATTTATTGCAATATCGCAGGAGGAAGTAAAGCTTGCGAGCGTCGAAAAACCGAGCTTGCTGGGCGTAACAATAGAGAACCGGTAGTTTCTTAATCGAAATAGTATATACTGGGTGTTCATTTTAAACATCATTTGATCTTCATCAATGGTGACGATTTTCAATGCGTGTTCGGGTCATTTTTAAGTCCTTTATTAAAATCTTGAACGAATGTATTAACGACTTTTCAAAATGTATTCATGATTTACTTTCAGTTTTAAATTTAAACATGAAGATGGGTTTTTATTTTATTTTATTTATTATTAACATGTTAATAAAATTTGTTTCATGGATACCGTATGAAATCCGCTTTTCTTTAATGATTTTTTTTTCTAAGAAACCCCCAAAAAACCTCTGACCTACTTTATGTTCAATAAAAATCATGAAACAACTCCGCCATTTTGTATCCGCCATTTTGTTGTTTAAAAAACCAATATTAAATTCGTAATCAGCAATTACGAGAACCCCTAAATTAATATTTTTGCTGAAATGAAATCATTCCGCCATTTTGTATTCGCCATTTTGTTTTTTTTTTAACTAACATCAGATTTGTAATCAGCGACCGAAAAAACCCCCGAACTATTATTTTCGTTTGAAAAAAATCATGAAACAAGTCCGCCATTTTGTATGCGCCATTTTGTTTTTTTAAAAACTAACACAAAATTCCTAATCAGCGACCCCAAAAACCCTGGTATAAGAAAATTTCACGCAAAATTACAACATTTTCGAGTTTTGGCCAGCTTTTTGGGATTTCCGACCACTGTGCGCCGGAGGCAATTTTTTTTTTGAAATTTTCAAGGTCTCGCGTTTTTGGAGCACTTCAGAATCTAAATAATAAAAATATATTATTTAAAAAATGTTCTTTCACGAGAAGAATTTTCAAAATTTAGCTAGAGCAATACAAACAGTGCGGGACGAGGTGGGATTTTTATTAATTCCTTCAGCAGGTTTCCACATTTCCCAGGAGGTACTGCTCATTTTTACCTATCTTACAATAATTATTTTTAGATAAATAAAGGCACAACCGCACAACAACAAAATAATAATGTACAAGGACAGTAGGTATATGAAACTCAACGATTTAACACTGAACTATAAAAAAAACATGAATATTTTTATTTATATTTTTTGTGATTTTTACTGTGGTTAAAATAAAAATAATCTTTTATAATTATTTGAATTATTTTTACATGAATTAGAAGGCGATTTTATTCCGGTGATTCGTAATATTAATCGTTGTATTAATTCTAGAATAAAATCAAAAATTCTGA